TGGGATTTTGTAAAACTTGGTCCTGTGTTTTTGGCATATTTTGATGCATTATTTTATCTTTTCCCTTGTTTTTCAATTTGTTGCCTTTGGTATTAGATTCTTTCAAATCAACCCACTGCCGACAAAATCATCCTTCACTGAATACTGACTTGCTTCAAAAAGAAAAACCTTAAAGCTGAAGGTCCTAGTTTGAAAACTCCTAAAATTAGTCTTGTGCCCCTTCTTCTTTTTGCTTTTATTAAGTGGGTCCTATCCAGTTTTAAGGTTTCCTCAACTTGAATTTCTAACGTTAATTAAAAAAAACAATTGGTTAATCTAAATGATGTGGCATCAAGTTTTCAATATTTTTATTTATCATTTTTTAAAGTAAAAAGATGAAAAAAGTTCTTGAATTAAAATTAAATAATTATTTAAATTTTTATTTTTTTGCAATCAATTAAACTCTAAAACATTTATTTTCATTAATTGAGTTTTTATTAGAGGAACAATAGTTAACTGATTTCGTTCAATTAAGGTCTTAATTTAGAGAAAATAAATGTATAAAGGTTTAATTAGGTGAAAATAAATGTTTAAGGGTTCAATTGATTTGAAATAAAAGATTTAATATTTAATTGATTGTAAGAAAATATTAGTGATTTAAATGATTATTAAATTTTTGTTTGAGAACTTTTTAACTCTTATTATTTTTTTTTTTTATAATAAAAGTCGTAATCTAGAGATAGAAAAATGAATTTAGATGCTGGAATTTAAACTTATATGTTAGATATTATCTTTTAAAGATAATTATATGAAATAATTGAATTAAGTGTAGGGATTTGATTTTCTTTTCAATGTAAACAAGTTTAGTTTCATAACTTGTGAATAATTATGGATTGAAAAATACCATAGATTTAAACTCCCTAGTTAAAGATAAGTACAAAATCAAAAGAAAATGATTTCTTGAAGATTATTGCAAAGGAAATTTTGATTGTGAATTTGACTTAGATTTAGGCTTTTGTTAGTGGTGCGCACATTATTTATAGTTGTTCCATGTCCTTTTCCTCCTTTCAAATAGCGCCATTAGTCATGGCAGTCAAGGTAGGCGAGTTGTGACGTTATAATCTTCCACAAAACAGGGCTGTAACCAATGTTGCGTGACATTCCATCATTCTACCAAACTAACCTTGTAATTATGTGGGGTTTAACCATTATCATTCCATCACCAAACAATGTTGTTAGCAAATCAAATCATATAAACAAATTCTATTTCTTCATAAAATCTTTGCCATTCTGTTTGGTTTGAGGAAAGTTGAAACAAAAGAAAAGGAAACTTGTAGTTTTATAAGTTTGATACATTAAACTCTTTAGGGATTATCCCATAAATTTACATGGATTAATTTTTTTTTGTTTTCATTTAAAAAAATTAAAAATGTTTAATAAAATTGTCTAGGGAAACATTAGTTGAGATTGTTCATTAGAAATCTCCATTTAAAATCAATATTAATTTATCATTCAATTGCTCCAAAACAACAGGTTCAGCTTGGACTGTGATTTCAAGATCTTTTGCCGAGTATTCCATAGTCGGCTGGGATAACTTGCCAAGAACTTTGCTTCTTTACTACACCAATTTTGTGTCCTCCCCTGAGGGTTACTTCCAGACATTGATATGCAACTCTGAAGACTACAAGAACACATCAGTCAACCATGACCTTCACTATATTAATTGGGATACACCTCCAAAGCAACACCCTCGGTCCCTGGGACTCAAAGATTTCAGAAAAATGATTCTGAGCAACCGTCCATTTGCCAGAAAATTCAAGAGAAATGATCCAGTTCTTGACAAAATTGACAGGGAAATTCTCAAGAGGAGGCATGGAAAGTTCCCTTACGGGGGTTGGTGTTCTGAAAATGGAAAGAAACAAAGGGCATGCTCAAGTTTACAGGGTGAGAATTACGGTGTTTTGAAGCCTGGAGCTGGTTCTAGGAGGTTAAAAACTTTGCTAACAAAAATTCTTTCAGCAAGGAATTTCACTAAGAGACAGTGTAGATTGTAGATTATTTTTTTTTTCTCCTTAAATGAATTAATACTAATATAAATTTGTATTTTTTTCTTTTTGAATAAAAATCATCTGTGTTGATTCTTGTATTGAGTAGCAGCTGAATTGCTACCAACTAATCTTCAAGGTGATGTACTATAAACTTGAGGAAGAGTATTTTAGCATTCATAATTGAAAAAAAAAAGCACTAAAAAGATTTAGGAAGGAAAATAACAAAAAAAAAAATGGAAATCTATCAATCATTTCAATATAAAATATTCATAGATCCTTAAAAGGCACCATTGAAACTGGTTATCTGGATAATCTGAACTGCTTGAAGTGATCCCGGAGGTAAGATATTGGAGGAAATTAAACCTAATAAAACTAGTGTTACTTGGTTTTGGATTTAATTTCCTCCAATTCTTACATACGGCTTATTCACTAATAGTCCTTGAGTTTGAAGTTTTAGATTTTGTAATAGAATCTGGAGAAAGAAATACTAAAATTTACTAAGAATTGGAGGTGAGATATTGGAGGAAATTAAATCAAAACAGAAGCATAAATAATAATGCCAATGGAATTTGGCTTAATTCCCTCCAATTCTCACTTACAACTAAATAGTCAATAAGCACCTTTTTTTTTATGTTATTAATTCTCACAATATGGTAATGCACTTCAGCTTCCAAGGTACTTTATACTAGTAGAGACCTGACATTTCACATGAAGCTAAGAAAGTTGCTGAAGTTGCATGAATTATTTAGCGACAAAAATCTCGTGAGGCTCGTACAAAGGACAGTTAGTTGTTTGACTCAATGTGTTATCCCAAAGGAGAGCCAGAATTTGATTTTTTTTTTTTTTTTTTGCTATACAAGAAACTTAACACGGAAAGACTTTTTTTTTTTTTTTTTCACAAAAGAATTTATAATTTGAGGATTGAAGAAAGAATTATAAATATTAAATATTAAATTTAAAATTTATTAAATGTTATCTCATAAATATATCTCCATGAACCATATGAGGTAACTGCAGGTAAGAAAACATGGGATTTCAACCCCTTTATATATGAAGAATACAAGATGGTTTCAAATACAAATATTAGGGAAGAAACATAATATACTTGTATAAAACTCATCACTCTTGCACTGTTTTTTTTTTATTATTTATTTATCGCATAGAAAAAGAATTACTAAAAAACTCTAATTGCACACTGATTATTGAATTATATATACATGTCAAATTTTAAGTTTATTTGATAGTTAAAAGAATTTAATAAAAAGATGATTTTGGTGAATTAATAGGATTTTTTCACTACAATAAGTTTGACTTTTGATTGCATTTTCTCCAATAATGCTGTTAAAATTCTTTTTAGATGCACTCTTTTTAATTTTTTAACAGCATGGATATGAATTTGGCTCCATCATACAAAGTTTTGACAACAGTTTGAACAACATGCAATTACATATAGAAGTTGCATACAGTAACAATGGATGCACACTATAAATTGTTATTAAATGTGAAAAAAAATTAAATAAAAAAATTTAAATAGCCACGCTTTTAAAGTTTTTACTGCATAAAAATAAAGTAAAAATTTTTGCAGTGTTTGGAAATATGATACATTTGTTCTATGTAAAACGAAATAACAACAAATATTTAACTTACTAAAAAGTATTATGTCTGATCATTAGTACTTCATTTAGATGGGGGTTGTATGAAGCAATTTTCATTACATTATCACGTGTTATTATGAGCAATCTAATCCTCTAAGACTCACATCCAAAAATACCTAACATGTAATTTACCAAATGATCACAATTTAAAGAAAAAAAAAAGTCAAATTTCAAGAAAGCTAATGAGGCTGCTCTTACCAAAATGACTGACAAAATCCGTCGCCACTTGGATGAGCTTAAGATCAGGAGAGATCAAATGTTCACTTTCGAAGAACTCGAGAGGAGTTCAAAGAATTCGTGGTTGGAATGAGAAGTTTCTTATGCTTTATAAGGGCGAATTTAACGATGAACGATTTATTTAAGAGTTGGGGTATTTATTTAAATTTAAAAGTTTGTTTAAATTTTATTTAAATAAAAAATTAAAATTCATTAATAGAATATAATATAATTTTTAAATTTATTTAAAGTTTGAATTGAATTTTAAATAAAAATTTTAAAATTCGAGTTCATCCAATTCAATTCAAATTCATATATATATATAAATTTTTTTATTTATATATATGTAAATTATATAAAAATTAATTTATATATATAATTAAAAATAAAAATTATACATTATATATAATTTTAAATTTTAAATTATATATATATATATGTGAATGGAATATAATCTCATTAAATTTAAGTCAAACCATATTTTTAAAATTTTTTGTTATATAAATTAAATTTAATGAATGTATTTGAAAAACTTTTTTAATTTTGATTAAACTTAAAAAAAAATTTAAATCTAAAATTTTAAATTAAATCAAATTTTAATAAATATATAAATTATTAATATCATTTATAATTCGATCCAAATCTAATCTAATACGAGGCATGAACATTTCTACGTAAAACTTTTGCTTGCCTGATACAGTGATGATAGCAACCGGGTAAGTTGCATTAATTTGTACTAGTTAACTTTTACATTCTACCATTGGTTTTTTCCCAAAATTAATTAGTTAATTTAGGATTTATAATTCAAAATTGGAATTAATATTTTTTTCAAAACTACTACATCAGCCACAAGCAACTTTACATTGTCAACCACGAATTCTACGTTTAATTTGGCACATTTGCAAAAACTAGCCATGGCAAAAGCCAAAAAATTTAATGCATCATAAAGTTAACAACGCGTGTATTTTACCTTCTCAACTTCCTCAAGAAAAATTTTTATTTGAGAAAATTCGATAAACTTTAATTTTAATTTAATTCAAATAAAATATTATTATCTAAATTGAGCTTAAATAGAAATAAATAAAAAAAAAAAATAAAAAAAGCTTAAAAAAGACTAAAATCCGCAATCCCTTTTCCCTATTCTTCCCTGGCATCTATGCTAATGCTCCTATGCCTCAGCCGCACCTTCTGCTAAGACTGCAACATCGTTCGCCAAAGCAGTAGATCCACGGTGGTACAAACCCAACAGGTAAACCCCAAAACCCAACTCAAAGGAAGCTACTTTACATTCAAAGAACTCAACTTTTTTGTTCTAAGGTTATTTAGCGAAATTGGAAGAGAAGAAGGTAGGTTTTTCAAAGGACTAAACTTTAACATTCAAGGAAGCAGCTTTAGTTTCAGAAAAATGAACCCATTATCTCAATTTTTGTTGGCAATTCTCTTTTTTCATAGCTCAGAATACATTTTAGCCGTTGCCATCCATGGGATATCAAATGTCAGTCTCGAGTCACTTCTTATAAGTAAAGAATATGTTCTAGCCATGGTTTTTTCATTGGTTGAATACTTTTTCGAAGTCCTTCTTTTCCCTGGATTAAAAGAACATTTGCGGGTTAGTAATCTGGGGCTTGCAATGGTTTTTATTGGAGAAATTGTAAGAAAATTGGCTATTGTAACAGCAGGTCGATCTTTTACACATTTGATTAAGGTTTATCATGAGGATGATCATAAGTTGGTTACAAATGGAGTTTATAGATTTGTTCGTCATCCGAGTTACTGTGGTTTTCTGATTTGGTCAGTTGGAACTCAGATAATGCTGTGTAATCCCATATCGACTATTGGTTTTGCGGTTGTTGTTTGGAGGTTTTTTGCAAAGCGGATTCCTTATGAAGAGTATCTTTTGAGGAAGTTTTTTGGAGCAGATTATGAGGAGTATGCTCGCAGAGTTCCTTCTGGGATTCCATTTGTGAAGTGAAAATCCTTGGATTATGTTTATAGGGCTGACTTTGATTCAAATAAGCTTTTTTGGTGTGATTTGGGGGTTAGTACTCGGGGCTTGGAATTGGTTTAATGGTAGTAATTATTAGAAAATTGGCTATTCTGACCACAGTTAGTCTTTTACACATTTAATCAGATCTGGTTTACCATGAGGAGCATCATAAGTTCGTTACCAATTGTGCTTTATGGATTGGTTCGTCATCTGGATCATTAAGGTTTTTTAGTGTGGTTCGTTGGTACTCAAATAATGCTATGTAATCCTGTTTCAATGTTTGTTTTGCTGTTGTGGTTTGGTGGTTCTTTGCAAAGTGGATCCCTTAGGGGGGGCTTTTCTTTGAGGCGGTTTGTCTGGGCAGATTATGAGGAGAACGCATGAAGTGAGGATTCTGATTGTGCTAAGCTTTTTAATTGAGGAAAAAGAAATTCTTTTCAACCCTAAAAGATTGGTGACTGGTAGGAGTAAGATGTTCTGCACTTCTATTGTTGCAGCCTTGTTCTTTTATCAAGTTATTAATCCCCGACATACTTGCAAAACAGGCAAGCAAATGTATTCAATCTTCTTTTGCGTTCATATCTTTATAACAGTAAATGTTTTTTGATGATGTTAATTTCAATCTGTTGGTTTGAATAATACAAACCTATTTGCTGTTATTGTTGCCAGATTATAATGTTAATTTTCTTATTTTGATCCTGTTGGTGCTTTAACATTGCTAAAATTAGAAATATTCCCCTTTATTTACTGATCTCAAATTGAAAAAAGATAGCCAGGCGAGTCTTCCTTCAAAATAGTTCTTCAGTGAATGCACATGCATAAGATTCATATGAGTATGCAGAGCAGCTGTGGCTAATGGGGGCTCTGAGACTTTACTATCTTGTTTGAAACTAAAATTTTATGGAACATATGAGATAGGAACAGGTTCTACTGCTTTAGTATAGGAGCAGCTGCTATTTGGAATTACAAAGGGGGGTTTTGTTGCGGCTAGCTATGCTGACTCTGATCTGTCCCTTTGTTTTGGATGCTGGTAGAGGAGACATGTTATGGTGCAGAATGATTCGCGGACATTATTGCTTGGTTTACTGGGATGAACTGTCCGGTATCAGTACTAAGTCATTGGATTGATACAGTATTCTGATTTCTGAATTGATTATTCTGTTTTATATCATCTAAATGTTCTTGAGCAATTTAACTAATGGGGGAAAAGGGTGTCCCAATTTCAAAATTTTAAGACTAAAAAGATGAAAAGAATAGTACTATTTTACTTAAATTGCCAACTTTTCTCTTATAAACTTTGAAACATGTTTCCATATATGTATGCAAGCGCTCCCGTAAGTTTATTCATTAATGCAATGCCAACGGTCACCTTCTTGCCCAAATGTATTCATTTTAATTTCTTTAAAAATCATTCTCCGCAGACATCAACGGTCACTTCTTCCACTTTAACGAGTTCAAAGACCAACTTTTAACCAACTTTAAAACCACCGCTTATTCCTTTTCAATACATAACAAAAGAACCATCCAATAAAACAAAGATCATAGACCAAATCCAACATGTCCTAGTAGCTAAATTCACCAAGTGTCCGGATGGGAGTCTACATAATTTGATCGGAAAGCGACGGTAGTCGCCGGAAGAAGTTGACCGGAACCGAAGGCATGTCATCTCTGAATCTAGGGTGGCGGATGTAATAGAATCCTGACCCTAGCACAAACACCTTGAATGGTACCACATAAAATAGCAATGAAGCAAATAGGCAAAACAACACAAAAATGCCGGTGGCTCTTGGGTCCCTCCAATTAAACAAGGCCTCCAAACGCTCCCCTTGGGCTGCCACATCTCCTAACAGTGTTTGAGCCCGGCCCGCTAGTGCCCGTAGACGATCGTATCGTATACGTATAGTATCCGGTGATCTCGTTGTTGGAAATCCATCAAATTCTTCATCAAGTTCATCAGGACCCACTGCATCCACGTAGGAGAGTCTTGGGTCCACGTTATGTGGGACCCTTGGGCGATAACGAAATCTCAACGCTAGGATCAAGAAGGCGTACATGAATACGGTGGGGAGCACTAGATGTGGACATAGCACGACTGCTGCAAGTAACACGTGAACCAAAATGGTTGTTGGAGGGTGTGTCCAAGTGCGAATCCCATCTAACCAACGTGCCAAAGTTGCCGCATGTGACAAACACCCCACAACTCTGAACCAATTTGCCTTGCTTCTCCTCATGCTCCACACGTGTGTATCACTATCCAACATGAACTGAACCACTTCTTGTCCCAAAGGTGGCTCTGACCTGGCTAGCCTAGCCGTCACTATGCGCATGGCCGTGTGGCGCAGAATGTCTTGCTGGGCTGGACCCAATGGGCGAATGTAGTGCATTCTTGGTAACATTGGGTTGCCATAAGCTTGGATTAAACTTAGCCATGATGAGCAAGAAAATCTAACGGCTATCTCAATTGCTCCCATCTTCTTGGCCCCATTTGGTAACAATACGGTGAGGGCGTACGAATTCAGGTACACCCTATTTGTATCAAGTGTCGATAGCCGAACACGTATTTTACCAACACGTATATCTTTACCCGATTTTCCTGTTTCATCATGCCTATACCTTCCATTGTCAAATACACCGATAGTAAGGACCGTACATGGATCATATACGTCCCATGTGTATTGCTCATTCCAGCGTGGATTAAATCGATCAAGAATCGTACGCGTACGAACCCACTTAGGTCCATACTTGACTACCACATAAGCATCTGTCGTCCCACGTGTACCGTCCTTGGTCTTGACAGGCAACAAATTACTGGCCCCACGGATCCCAACCTCGAGCAACCCGATCGGAGCCTTAGCTAGCTGCTTAGCCGCGGCTCGAACATCGCTAGTAACGTGAGCAGCTTCATCAAGCACGTGATACCCACCTTCTAGACATACTTTCATATGTATTCTCCCTGCATAAGGCTTGTTTTCACCACCAACCAAATTAAACCATCTTGATTTTAGCTCCATTTTATCATCTGTCCTTCTCTCAATGCTTGGCACATGAATTCTAGCCTGTCCCACTGACTGCCCATTACTCACATCTTCAACCGTGACCACCAAAAATGGCTCAAATGGCTCAGCCGCCACAAAAACCAAATCCTCATTCCAAGCTGACCCAACTTGAGTCCTACTGGTTTTAAAAACTTGAGCCCCAAGCTGAGCCTTAACATAAAGTTCAGGACTCCGAACCTTTGCTTCAGATCCCGAACCAAGCTGCAAATCTTGGGTTTGGATAACCGTTAGTCTCAAATACCAAAGCTTTGGAGACAAGTAAACCTTAGCTCGGGTTTCGGGTATTAACCCACCCGAATCCGATTGCCAAGCTTCCTGGAAAGCTTCGTCGGCCTGAGTCCCGAACCAAACAGCAACCATCACATCATTTCCGGGGGACTCCTCGGATTCAAGACTGTACCATTGAGGAGCTAAAGGACTATCCGGAGGAACCCTTTTCGGCACTTCTTGCAAATCAAACGGCACCGTTCCCAAACAATTCTCCACCAAAGAACAAGCCCCTTCTTTTCCTTCTTCTTTTTTCTCTTCTTCAGTCCAAACTGAAACTTCTAAGGAACTTGAATTCAATCCATCTTTGTCGAAGGCGAAAACCTGGTCCCAATCTTTATCAATTTGGCTTTTGGTTTTGATACTGTGAGTACCAATGACTAGCTTGGCATGAAGGGGACAGGCCGGTTCTTTGTTGGCTCGTTTTGCTTTAACAACTCTGACGTATAAGAATGGCATACGGTCTACAAGATCGTATGCGATACGGGTATGGTCACCGGAAAGTGATCGGAGTTCTAGCTCGTTGATGACGATGCTTTTTCCTGTTTCAGCCTTGTCTTTTGCTACCGTTGTTGCTGGCTCTTCCTTATGTGTTAGTGGCGGGTTCTCCACCTCTGCCGGCGGTGGATTTGTCCCTGGAGTGGCAGCCGCGGCTGAGTCTTGAGGATTACTACTCTCTACCGGCGGTGGATTTGGTTTCTCTTCTTCTTTGGGTGCTTCTTCTTTAGGCTTTTCCTCTTCTTTCTTTCTTATCCTCCTCTGGCTTTGGATTCTCTGGTGGCTTCTCCTCTACCGTCTCTGCTTTCTGCTCCGCCGCAGCCTCGGCCGGTGTTGGAGGCGCTTCTTCATCTACATAAAAAACTTTAACTCCAATCTCACCTCTAATCTGGGAAAAAACACTCCTTTTCTCCAACGGGTAATAAATAAGACTCTCAGCTCCAGCCTTCACAAAAACACTGCCAGCCAACTTCACTTTACCCAAAAAAGTGCTTCTTTTCCCAGTTTTCTTATCATTGTACAAATTGATCTCCAATATCTCCGCAGCCATTGACTCTATATCATGAACCAGAAATTCCAGCTTCTCATTCCAGACAGGATTTAGATCTCTGAACTTTGTCTTGGTTCTTCTTCTTTGACCATCAAAATCAACTAAAGCATAAGCACTGGCTGTTCCTTGCCCATCTTTTGGCATCAGGTTTTTGGCGTTGCAGATTTCAACTATCAGCTTTCTACTGGAATTCTCTGCCATTTTTCTGTGAAACAATTGAACTATACAAAGAAATTTCGATCTGGGTTTGGAGAGATTGTGCAAATAAAGCAATAGAAAGCGAGTTTTTCAACAGAAAGAGACGTTGAGTTTTTTTCTTTTTTTTTTTTTTGTTATGTGAGTAAAAGTGGAGGAAATGGGGGCCAGGTGGGGGTTTAAAAAGGAGAAGACTTTGAAAGAGAGTGGAGCGTGGACATGTCAGCAATGACATGTAGGACAACATTACACGTGGCTTGATCTTGGAGTGCATAATTGGCTTGGATGTATTATAGAGACAGGATCAGGCATAAGCCAGCTTGTCTGGTGCTGAGACTACTGGTAATTTGTACTGAGGCTTGAGTTTGTAAATATTTACCAAAATGCAATGTTCATTTTTTGTGTGAATTTGATTGACAGAAGGATCAAGGAAGGAATTATGAAAGAGTCATAATAAATGTATGGGAATAGGGAACAAATCAAAGTTTTTCCACAAGGAACTCCTTTCGCTTTTGGATCTTTTTCAGTTTTACTCTTTGCCTGAGTTTGTGTCGTACAAAGTCACAATTTTTGTGGGGCTTGCTCCAGATTTTCTTTCTTGCGTGAAAACATTTATAAGCATCAAGTTTTTTTGAAAATAGAAAAAAAAAAAAGAAACAAAAAACTGTGAACATCAACTTATCTATGACTTTTGCATGCACAAATTAACCAAAGTAGGCGGTGAAATTAATGCATGATTATTAAGCTTTATGAAAAAGGAAAGGGGTAAAAAATGAAGTTGACACTACATAATTATCATGTTTAATCATAGATTTACATTGTAAAGTCTAGTATAATTAGTTTGATGAAGAGGTTAAATTTTGTATGCAGAAACCAAGATTTTTACATCTGAAAACAAGAATATACAAATCAAGATTCTCATAAATTTCAGTTGATTTGGCTTGTAGCTAAGATAAGCTATATCTTTGATATGTTTCTCTTATCTATAATGGAAAAAGGCATATACACAAACACAAGTGGGCATGCATCTGCTACACTGCAGAAATGAACGTTGCTCTGTTCCCGTGCTTTTCCTTGGATTCGGTCTGTCATCAGTCACTTGGGATTAAAAATAAAAGATGGAAAGAGGCTCCTGATTTCAACGATTTATGATACCCACTCAGTGGAAAATTTTAATGCATCCCACGTACGGTAACTGACTCAAATGTTTGAGTAATTTGATGATGAAGTTTCATGGTGGATGCCTGGACATATGGCTGCTTGAATTGTTGAAGGATGTCGTTATCTACAGAAGACTTTCCTTCCGGTAAATATCCCATTTTTTACAGATATTATTGATTGTGCATTTGAGGTTAATGCCAGAACAATTACAGAAGTTGTCGATAAGAATCAAATCTAAAATCACACCAACTAATAAACTTACCGATTGAGTGAATCGATCGTTAATTAGAACCTTCTTTTATACAGCGAGAAGATGAGTTCAATGAAGTATTAAAGATATAATGAGGTGAGGAATTTACCAGATTGAATTTTACCCTCGCAACTGGTTTTGATATACATATACATGACAGAAATGATTAATTATTATAGCATGTCCATCAAACATATATATATATATA